GAGGAGGAATCACCTGTGGATGAGACTCAGGTGAAAGAGAAAGATACTATATCCATGGATGATGATGATAAGGTTCATGAAGGTAACAAAGATGCTACAACAATGGATGATGATAAAGTTCATGATGGTAACAAAGATGATAACAATGGTGTACTAGATGAAGCTGACCATGACCATGATGGTTTAACGAATAACAATGAAGGAGATGAAAAACATCAAAAGCTTGTGACTCCAACCACCATTGTGATACAATCACCTAGCAAAGCTGAGGATCACAGTGTAGTGACACTAAAGAATGAGCTAGAGGACACAAAGGTAATTCCACATTGAAATTAAGAAGTTCAATTGATACCTTTATTTAAGCTTCCCTTTTGTATTAAACTATTAGATGGATGAGGGCTATGAATCCGGAACTCCAGAGGATCAAGAAACATTCATGAAAGAGGTGGAAGCCATTTATAAGGAGAAAAACTTGGAATTTAAGCCTCCTAAGTTTTATGGACAACCGTTGAATTGTTTAAAGTAAGTTTTCTTTTCTCTTTTTCCAAAATTTCATTTCATGATCTTTGAGTGAAGCCTTAGTTGTAATGTTGTGATTTTCTGATAGGTTATGGAGGGCTGTTATCAAATTGGGTGGATATGAACGGGTATACACTCTTTATTTTTAGGTCTATTTACGCAAGATTTAATAATAATAATAATTATTATTATTGTCTCCTATTATTACCTTTTATGGCGATTTTCTTTAGGTAACTGCATCCAAATGGTGGCGACAAGTAGGAGAATCTTTTCGTCCACCCAAGTAAGAACATAATAACATCTACAGTTTTTTATTTCACTTATAAACATTGATATTTAATATTTTTATATAATTACCATTCTATTAACATTATGTATCATGAAGGACATGCACAACCGTGTCGTGGACATTCCGCCAGTTCTATGAAAAGGTAATTATTTTATTTTTTTTTTTCTCTTTTTAATTTTTTTGCAATAATCAACTATTGAAAGTTATTATTTGTAGGCGCTTCTTGAATATGAAAAGCATAAGATCCAAACTGGTGAGGTTGAACTCCCTCTAGCAACCGTATACCCAGAGGCTCCTATTGTTGAAATTGAGGTCAAACTTAAATCTTAATTTTCAAATACTTTTAATTTTTATTCCACTTCATAATTTGATTTTTAAATGGCTTTTTCAGACAGTTGGTCATCAGACACCAGGGTCAGGTAGGGCCCGTAGAGATGCTGCAGCCCGAGCCATGCAGGGTTGGCATGCCCAACGTCTCCTAGGTTTTGGTGAGGTTAGTTACTTACTTGGTCAATGAAAAAGTCAACATTATATTATTTTATTTTATTTTTTTACCATTTATATCGGCTTTGTTTTTATTAGGAAAAGAATTCAAACAATTCACAGAAGCGCGAAAAAAGTCTGAAAAGCATTGGTGAGAATTTTAATGAATGTTTTAGTTTTCACATTAAAAACATACCAAAATGTGTTTGTTAATATTAATTGCATGATGTTTGACTTTATAGGGTCACTTAAACATAAAAGACCAAGTGAAGTGCAGCATCCAGTGAAAGCTGTTCGAACCGAAACATCTAGGCAGTTAAGAATCTAGTTTTTAATTGCTAATATTTGTTTGTTACTTTCTTTTAATATTTAATTGTTTATAAATACATCTGCTTGTTTTGAAATGTGATAGAGTTGTCACCACGGTTGCCGATGTGGGACCCCCTGCTAATTGGGTGAAAATAAATGTGCGAGAAACCGTAAGTGTATTGTCACATCACACCATTTGACATTTATAACAATTATTATTAACACACGTTTGACTTATGTAGTTTACTTTATGTGTAATGTACAGAAAGATTGCTTTGAAGTGTATGCCCTAGTTCCAGGGCTTCTACGGGAAGAGGTGTGTAAATATATATATATATATATATATATATATATATATGTTGATTATAAATGCTCTAGCTTTATTTTCAGCTAAAATGACTGATTTGCCCTTGTTGAATTTTAGGTACGTGTCCAATCTGATCCAGCTGGACGTCTAGTCATCACGGGTCAACCCGAGCAACTTGACAACCCGTGGGGGATTGCTGCTTTCAAAAAGGTATGTTGATTTGATTAAGAGGTATAAATGACTCTCTGTGAAAGTTTATTGTGTTTGACTTTTTGACTTTTTGATTTGTAATGATAATAAACAGGTGATTAGCCTACCATCAAGAATTGATCCGCTTCGTACATCAGCGATTGTGAGCTTACATGGACGCCTGTTGGTTCGTGTGCCTTTTGAGCAGTCAAACATCTGATCTCATGTTTTAAACTGAAAAACAAGTTTTAGCCTAGGGGACACTGAATTTAAGTAGTAGGAGGCAAATATTTAGTGTTAATTATATATGATATGATTGGTGGTAAAAATGATTTGAGCCAACAAGTTTAGCTTTTTCTGCTTAATTTTCTTTAAAATCTTGCTTGGTTTTCTTAAAGAATTTTCAACTGCACTTTGTTAGTAGAAGTCAAAATGTTACATAAACGTTGAAAGTCTAATAATCTTAAAATCCATCTGTTACACCACTTCCTTGGCCTAAAACAAAAGCAACGATTTTTCACATATACTTAGTTGCACTTAAGCAATCTTCAAGCGTCTGTATTCTTTAAATAACCAAACAAAATCTCTTGTATCTTGCTAGAAATCATTATTTAGTTTGTGAAGATGACACTATTAATATAAAACATCTAAGTTAAATAAAATTCAACATATATGATCAGAAACAAATCCTGTAGCGTACTTGAATATATGTACATACACATGTATGGGTGTATGTATTATGTATATTGTAACGTACTTGAATTTGTAATATACAAGATCTTGAAACTTATCATAGTGTTTGTGAATTCATTCTCTTTCCATGTCCCACAAAAGCAAATTATTGTAGGTATCATTTCCCCATATCACATTATTTTCTTACACGTCGTGCAACTGTTTCTCAATCAAGCTACCTTATGAAGTGTAGATAAAGTGATAGGCGTGTAGGAAAGTAAACTGAACAAAGATCATTTGAGAATTGAGATGTATAATTTGTCATTTGTGTCCCTCCCCGTAAGAGTTTACATAGAGACATTATTACAACGCAGAAATATAAAATAACTATAACTCTCTCTCATATATTTCTTAACATAACACCAAAAGTTTCACAATCACTGTATACTACATCAAACCCTTCAACTGTGAAGTAACAAAATTACCTTTACCTCTCTCCCAGAATCATCTCATCAGTTTTCTGGAGTATTACTTCTACTTTTGTTCCCATAAATGAGCCCAGTTTCCTACAAATTATAAAAAAGTTCAGGAATGGAAGAATTGGATAAAAATCATTTCAAACTCTCAATTCTAGATCAAACTGGTGGTAAATGAAGTTAATTGTGAGGGTTCTTAGGTAAAAAAGTCATGAGATTGATGTAAGAACATAATCGAACCTGAAGATCTGGAATCGGTTTTACTTTCTCGACATATCGATAACGATCCGACGCTGCCGCAAGCGCAGCTCGCTCCTAACAAAGAATGAAACAAACAATTTGATCACCAGTCATTCAATCATTATTCAATTTTGATATCATTCAGACATAGCTAAGAAGAGCAGTACTTGTTGTTCTCTCTTGAGCTCTTGTGAAGGCTTGACCCACAGAAAGTACGCTAAGGTTCCGGCCACCACCCAAGATGCTAGGTTGCTTCCTCCACGGAGACCACCCATTGCGTTTCCGACGACCGATCTGACATTGCCTAAATGTTTCTTCAATCCGGTAGCCATCGATAAGGGATTTCAGATGTAAATTAGGGTTCCGTCGGGTGATAAACCAATCGTTTCCGTGCAGGAATTTCGCGTGCGTGTTTTTTCTAATGTCTCGCGATATTACGAGGTATCACAAATTTAAATTATTATAAAAATGTAAAATATCCTTTTATACAAGCAACAAATATATTTTTAGTACTTATACGATCGCATCTATCGATATTGTGGAATGGTCCTTAGTCCACGATGTCAAAAATACTAAAAGAATATATGTTTTATTATTATTTTAATTGTCTATCGCTAATAAAATCGATCATTATTCCACGATGACACATTTGAATATAACTTTTATGGCAAATGGTATAAACTATATTGCATCATATCAAGTAACTGGTGTACATCATCTCCTTTATTTCTTTGTTTCTAAGGGTAGCCATGATTTTCAGTTTATGATTCGTGATTTGTATTTTCAATGTTTTTGTATTTTTTTTATATTTTATTCCTACTTATTTTTTAATTAATTTTTTTCTTTGATTGTATAACATGTTAGGTCAATGATGTTCTATACCGTCTCAATCAACATTGTGACATGTTGCTTCTTTTAGCCGTATTACATATTTTGAAAACCCTAACATACCTATTAAAGTTACCGACTGTTTATGATATGTGGTTATTTAACTTATTTTTAAGTTATACTTTAGTTCCGAAAATGTTTTCGATCAGTGTTGTCTTATTTTTTCGTAAACTAAACTATGTTTCATAATTTTTTTTAGTCGGATTATGTATCTTGAAAATCTAGTATATTCTAAATAATAAAACTAAATTATGTTTCATAATTTTTTTTAGTCGGATAATGTATCTTTAAAATCTAGTATACTCTAAATAATAAACTATTTCGAGATATGTTTTTTCATGGTTTCCAAAGTTATATTTTGACTATTAGCATTTAAGACTATTATGGTTGTGTATCTTCTCAAACGAACGTGTTTTACTGATTTTTCTTGTTAGATTATATACCGCAAAGACCTAACATCCCAAGTGCAACATTGTTGACAAATAGCACAAACAAAGAGGGCCAAATATAAACCTTTTAACATATCAAACAATCTAGATATTCAATCCTAGATATGATAGTAAAATAAAAACAAATGTTTACCAACAACTTCCTTTCTTTATCAAACAATTTAAGTTAAAACATAAGATATAACATAAACACCATTGATTGTCATATAAAATTCGTCTGCAAATGGTCTCAAAGATAACTCATAATCCAAACTTGCCCCATGTCGTGCTACTGCTACACAAATTAACAAAAGAGGAGCAAGAATTACACCCTCATTATTCTACCTGAAATTACACCCCCCAAAGCAAACACAACAATCTAACACAAAGTAAAACTCCAACAAATACAACTCTTTCTTCGGGGGGAAAATGGTCAGTAACACCTCACATTCTGGTCTTTACAGATACTTTCAACTCTTTTTAACTCTCCAATCCTTTTTCTTTAATTTAGACCTATATTTCTTTCTCTTTTATTTACTAAACTAAGACGAAATTACTGTCATATCCCTGTTGGATCTGTTATACTTCATATGACTCTTCACAAGCTGCCCCGATGAAATAGCTGACATCAAAGACAACTCCCCAGCCAACACCGACCCCGCTACAATTGTTGCCAAAAGTCTCGCATTTGCCCCTGGTGACTCTTTGCTTGCACCCTTCACTCCAAGTAAATTCAAACAAGCTGATTGGGATGCCAATTGGGTCCCACCTCCCACTGTCCCAACCTATACCAAATTCCCAAAATACCCCTCAGTATAAAAAAAAAAAAAAAAAAGAGTAGCTTTTAAAAGATAGTGTAGAAGGGTGAAAAGTGAAAAGAAATACCTCGATAGAGGGCATGGTGACAGAAATGTGGAGGTCTTTTCCGGAATTTACAGGCTCCATCATTGTAATGCAGTGAGAGCTTTCGATGTTTTGAGCAGGGTCTTGACCTGTGGCTATAAAGACAGCTGAAACAATATTGGCTGCATGAGCATTGAAGCCACCAAGAGAGCCTGCAATGGCTGAACCAGTAAGGTTCTTGAGCATGTTAAGCTCTACAAGAGCAGGCACTGTGGTTTTCAGCACCTTCTTCACCACATCTGCAGTGATGACTGATTCACAAACTACAGATTTTCCTCTCCCTTCGATCCAATTTACAGCGGATGGTTTTTTATCTGAGCAAAAGTTTCCTGTAAAAAAACCAAGAATATTAATGAAAGATATGGTGTTGATGCTGCAAGTTTAGGAATTGAAGGGCTTACCAGATATACCAATTACTTCCATGTCTGGGAAATCGATTTGGAGAAAATCTAGAACGTTTTGGACGCCTTTTGACACCATGTTCATCCCCATTGCATCACCTGTGCTGCATGTGAATCTGATGTAGAGATTTTTTCCGGCGATTGAGCATTTAATGCTTTGAAGCCGAGCAAATCTGCTTGATCTGATGTAATTGAATGTAGAAATTAATCAAGATTCTCAAAACTAGGAGACATATATGGTATGGTAACAAGTGAAATGTAACCTTTTTTCCAACCTAAACCTGATGTGATTGAAGGGTTTTTTCAAATTTTGCTGGATATGATGGTGATTTGTTTTTGATGTGGTTCAATTTGAAGATAGAAACTTCTAAAACAGTTCTTGTTGATGGTGATTGAAAAAGTAGTTTTCTATTTTGAAAAAAAGGAAGGTTATCAAGGATGAAGAATTGAAGGTGGAAACAGGATCTTACTTGTTAAAAACGATGCTTAATGCATCAAAATTGAGGGTGTCTTCCAAGAAGAACTTAAGGTGAGAAGCCCTTGCCGCCGATCCAAACCTAACAACAGGCGCCCTTGTCATCCCGTCCTTTAACAGAATCGCCGTGGCTCCGCCTGATGCAAATATGGCTTTACAGCCTCTATTTGTGCTCGCAACCAAACATCCCTCCGTCGTAGCCATGGGCACCATGTACTCGCCACCATTCAACAACAAAGGTCCTGCGATTCCGACAGGTACCTGAACATAACCAATAGGCATCTCACAGCACTGCCCCAATATCGAATTGTAATCGAATCCTTCAAGCGGTAACCCTAATAACGGCCTCCCCGTTTTTCTCTCTAACGCCTCCCGTCGAATCGAAGCCGCTTTCCGGCAGTCCCCAAGCTTTGATTCGAGAGAATACGACGGAATAGATCCAGAAACCACAGATTTCACAATATCTTCGTCCTTTTTAGACGTGAGAGTAGCAGCCGTCGGTAAAGGATCCATAATTCTAGGTTTAGGTTTAGAATGATGTTCGACGTCGTCTTCGAGAGTGAAGTTGTCCTCGTCCACACGTGAGGTGCCGATGAAGGATTGGACGAAATCGATGCCAAAGAACCCTAGAAGGTAGATGAAGGAGGCAATGAGGGAGACGATAGCGGCGAGTTCGGAGAGGGTAACGACGTGAAGAGGGGTAGAGGACCGGATTTTTTCCCGCCAACGGTGGAGGAGGAAGTAGGCGACGCAGAAGAAGAGAGTGAAGAAAATACCGTTTGTTAGGTATAGAGGAAGGGGCAATGCATCGGATGCTTTCGGGATAGGAGAAGGTGAGCGATGATCGATGACGGTGCCGGTGGAGGAAGGTGATCGGTTGTTATTATTCTTATTGTTAGAAGTAGTCTTCCGGTGGCGGATTATGGGAGTGGTGGAGGGAGGTTTTGGAGGAAGTCCACGGCGGAGATCCATGGAAATGGTAATGGTAGTGGTGGCGGTTGGGAGAAGGCGGCGTATGATCGGTGGTTTCGAGGGGGAATTTATACATGTGAATTGGATGCGGTGACGTGGGGTTGTAAAGCGAATGATATTTGACATTGGATGCAGCTGTCGCTTTCACTTGCTTTTGTACTACACGTGGCATGCATCCATTGATCTTGTTTTTTCCTTCTTGCTTAAGACAAAAATATGAAGGACGTGTTTTTTCAGCAGTCGATGGTTGATATGCAGTAGTTGGTAACGGTTGATGAAAGGTGGAAGCATGTAAACACATTGATACTTGGCAACGGAAAATTGGAAATTGGTAGGGGTAACTAATAGTTCCAAAATTATAATTGTTATTTATTATATAAATGTTGGATAAATCTACTTAGAAGTTTTTGAAATATATAAAAATTACAGCCGCCAATCGTATAAAAAAGATAAATATATAAGCAATTATGAAAATTGATTCTACAAGTTTAATAGTTTTTTTTAAAACACTACATCAAATAACTTTATATTTGATATTTTATTTAAACTACAAGCTAAAAACTCGTACTACCTAAACAAAACATTTTTGTTTAAATCTAATGTTTTATCAAAAACTAAAAACTAAAAATTATCAAATTATCTTTGCAAAACACGCCCTAAACCATGAAACTATTTGAAAAAAAAAAAAATATTCTTTATTTTTTTTCTACTGAACAAATGAATTAAAATATTATTAATTTCATTAAATATGACACGTGTTAGCATTTAACATTAATAAAAGTAGGAGTCAGAAGAAAATATAAAAGGATATTTAATTTCTCTTCCGAAAAATATATTTAGGAAATTTCTAAAACTAAAGTCCCTTAGGCCCAACAGTAAGTAGCAACCTTTTAGTGGAGAATTGATAAATTCAAGTCTCATTATAAACAAAAATGGTATTAGAAGTATATTATTTATTAGTTTGTTGTTTCAAAAAGAACCTCAAATTAAAAAGAATATGATTACAGTAGTCGAGCTTAATATTTATACTCAAACACTTTTATAGCTCGTAATATCAAATTAGACACCAAAGATTTTTAAATAGAATAGAACAAAGGTTAATCATGTATGTCTAACTACTTTACATTTACAAAAACATAATCAAAGCTATTATAGGCAAACATTAATTTGGTACTTCACTATTTTTTATTTATTTTGTAGACATTATGGAGCACAGAGCTTGGAGCATTGGAGCATGAAGAGAAGATGGATTGGCCGTGTCATGGAAGAAAACTTGAAGACATAATCTGAGTCGTTGCATTTCATCATAGCAATTGACTGTTGGGTTTTGAGCATTCTAATACTCCTAAGTGTACATGCAACCCTATATACATTGGATCTATGTTTTCTTTATTATACATGCAAATATCAATTTTCAAGGTATTTATAAAATCTAGTAGAATGGAGTACCTCTTTGTTGGTGCTTGATTCCATGTAGCTTGAGAGCCTAGTGCCCCAAGTGTGACACCTTAAATGGTTCACACAACATCATGAACACTTGGAATAACTTGAGAGAAAGTAGAACACTTCTAAAATCGGTTTGCCCTCACTTGTTTCACTAGTGGCCGATTTCTTCAATAATAAGATCATTATATAGTTAGTCACAATTAGGGTAAACCCTAATTGTCATGGATTTCCATTTCCTTTGATCCATGGGTTCAAATACACCATGGAGCATCCTATGGGTTTTAGCCTAACTTTATAATCCATGGAACATTAGCCCACTATATAAGTATGGATGATTTACACAATCAACCTATATATTTAATTAGTCTTCTTTTGATCACTTAATTAATTTTAGATTAATTCTTGATCAATAATAATTAAATAATCTTATTAATATATTAGAACTTATAATATATTAATAAACCTTAAGTGTTAGTTCTCTCATTTTAGTCTATCCAAATGCATGATGCCATGCAACCCAAATGGACCATGTCGGGTCGGGTCAAGTATATATCAATTATAGTTATGGACTTAAACACTAATCCAACAGTCTCCCACTTGGATAAGTCTAATAACTATTATTGCAAGTACACCTTCACAACCTGACCAGCAATCATAGCTCTTAAAAGATGATGCCGAACTTTGAATAAATAAATGACGCGTCCATTAGATAAGTGATCATATATTACTCCATTCGAGATATCATATGGACTGAGACATGGATTATAATCATTCTCTATGTCCATTTGTTGTTTCCCGGTTTCTGATTTATGACGATTGGCTAATTGAACAAATCAAATCAGTCCAGGCCCGACCGAGCACTTACATTTTGTCATCACTAAATCATCGAGGGGCCTACAAATATCGCTTTTATCCCTTTGAGGGTAAAAGGAATGGATAAACTTCGACGCATATGCTTGTACTAACTACTTGTTGAATTATACACAAAGGCACGTTTTATAACACCGAGTTACTGTAACGTCCGCAGATCCGGGCTAGTCAATTTAGAGGCAATAGGGGTCAAAAATGACTTTTCGACAAAAGATTATTTAGAATGAATAGTCTTAACCAAGTTTTAGAATATGTCACAAGGTTTCCGTACATATAAAGAACGCCGAAATCCGAGTTATAACGAAGAAGTTATGGCCCGCCGAAGTTTTACGGCAAAACCGGCACGGCACCGGAAGACGTAAATAGTGAATTTACGATAGAAGACTTTTTAGCCTTAGCAATCTAAACAAAAGTCGTAGAATATGTTAAACTAAGAGCGTCGATAAAAATAACGCCCAAATCTGACTTCGTATGAGGAAGTTATGATTTTTCTAAGATTCGGCTTAGCAGTGTACAGCCCGAAACTCGAATTTTAGTTCGAGCGGTTTTTGGCTTACGTGAAATAAATGAGAGTTGAAGATCTCATTAATAGGAACTCAACGGTAAAAAGACAGACGAAAACGGAGTCCGTATGAAGGAGTTACGAATTCTTCGCGGTCATTTAACAGTCTAAACGCCTCGTACTGTTAAATTTAAGATCGGTCGAGAATTAGCCGACGGAGTCAAAATGAAAGTTGTAGATATTATTTTTACCTACGCGTGGATATAAAGAACGTCAAAAACGGAGGTCGTATGTGAAAGTTACGGATTTTAGAAGTCGGAAGTGTGTTGTGCGAAAATGGGTGATGTGGCACAATCTTGGCCATTGCTTTCTCCCCAAGTCTTGCCACTAGATGGTGACATGTGGCACCAAGTTCAGCCATTTTCACCCTATAAATACCACCTCTCCCACCCTCATTTTCTTCACACCTTTCCCATTCTTTCTTCTCTTTACTCTCTCTCTAGAACCTCTCTCTAGCCCCGAAATCCCCCGAAAAGCCTAGGGAACCTCCCTAGCACGAGGCGGAAGCCCCGGAGTGCTCGACGGCTCCGAGAAGAAGAGCTTTTCGGCTCGGAAACGCTGCTCCAAGCAAAGCCTGGTTTTCTATAAAACCCGCTGTAAGTGAGCTACGCCTACGCTATTTTTAATATAGTTTTTATTTAATTATATTAACGTTATTAAGAACATATAATAAATACTTGGGCTATTATTATGGGTTATATAAGTATTTTTTTAACGCTTATATAATAGTAATAATAGCTAGACTATTAATTAGTCTCGGCGAATAATAGACTAAAATCTATTGGTGATAATACTAGGTTTCGTCGAAGGAAATTATTTTAAAGTAAACGAAGCGCTGTCCGAGTACCGAGTCACCACCTTCTCAGGTGAGTGCATAGTCCCTTTCATGAACATGATTTTAATACAAGTATTGATTGAAGTATTAATTATATGTTTATGTGCGAGTTAATTGATGTTGCTTGAAATTCGTGTTAAAGAACATACCTGATTATATTTGATAATTTAGGATAAAGAGTAGACCTAAATTAAATATGAGGAATATTGGGTAGTATATTCTTACGAGTACAAGTGAGTTAAACTCAGAGAATAGAAGTTAGTATATGTCACTTATCCGGGAGTATGGATTAGACATAGTCATTGTCCCTAGTCCGAGAATATGGATTAGGCATAATCATTCGTCGTTAATCCGAGAGTATGGATTAGCTATTGTCCCTAGTCCGAGAGTATGGATTAGGCATAATCATTCATCTTTAATCCGAGAGTATGGATTAGTCATTCGTCCCTAGTCCGAGAGTATGGATTTGGTAAATTCGTTCATTTCTGATCCGAGAGTATGGAGTAGGTAAAACGACTAATCTTAGGTCCGAGAGTATGGATAGCCTCGTTGCGAGGATCGACGGGGTGGGATAAGAGTTGTTTATATATATGTATGGTGAAATTGTATATTTTGTGAATTTTAAACTATATATATGGTATAACATTGTGGGATTGAAATCCCTATGTGCTCACCAGGTTTCCCAACCTGACCCACTCAGTTTATTTATATCACAGGTGTTGATATGAAGTGACATTACACTGAGAGATTTAAAGAGATGTAGACCACTAGTGTGAATAATTGTAAGTTCTGTTTATGCTTATGTTCCTGTATTAACGATGACATCCCAAACGTTTTAAAATGAAATAAATACGTTTCTTCGAAAATGTTTTAATAACGTATTTACCATGTTTTTCTGGGAACAAATTCCGCAACCTTTTTATAAAATGAAGTACTCTGATTTTTATAAAGCATAAACAAAATCGGTCTTTTCTGGCCGTGATTTTGGGGATGTCACAGTTGGTATCAGAGCATTAGTTTAAGCGAACTAGGAATATGGATTTATTTCTAGACTTAAACTTAGAATGCTAAGCGATGATTGTGAGGTGTGAGCACTAGCTTATTTTAGGAATTATGCCTAAAATGCTTTTATGTGCTAAATACTTGTGCCTGATATGCTGTTAGTTGTTCGGATCTATGGTCTGTTGCCGACCGGATCTGGAAACCTTATGTGTTTAGGATTCTAAACGTACGACTACGATATTAGAACTAGCATATAAACGTTTCGGAGTGATAAGGATGATTTAACCGTCAATCCTAAGTAAAGATCTAGATTCACCTTATTCGGTGTATAGATCAAGATGGCAAGAACCCGTAGCGGAAACGTGAATGCAAATGGGAACAGAAACCAACCCCCAGTGATTGAGCAAATAC